GTGCCACAACAGTGACGGGTGAGTGCGTGACCAACACGAGCAGGCCGCAGCTACCTGGGTGGACGCAGGCCCAGAGGAGGACTCGCTCGTCGGGGGGGGAGCAGTGTCCAGCGTAAGCAGGCTAGACACAGGGTCCCGGGGAAACGTCGCAAGGGGGGCACCTGAGGCGGCCTCGGTACAGACCGCGTACCGCTCGTGACCAGGGAAAGTAGTGGTGACGCCGAGGTCCTGAAGACAGCCAACACCAACTAAGTTCCTGGAGAACGAAGGGATGTGCAGGCCTGTAAGGGAGCTCGAGGGAACCGCCGGACAGGGAAGGGTAGTGTAGCTGCGAGCAACTACAGGACGAGAAGAGGGGTCTCCAAGGGCGACAGCGGCAGGTGTAGCAAGCGGCGTGAGGGCGGCGTGGTCGCAGAAGAAACAGGCTGACGCACCGGAGTCTAGAGTGAAGGACAGCAATGCCGTAGTGGCAGACGACGGAGGAGCAAGTGTAGAGCCTAGGCTAGACAAAGCAAGCTGTCCTACGCCTGACGCAGTAGGGGAGTCTCGACTACACACAAGTGCTACGCCTAAGCTAGAGAACACAGAGCAATACGATCCGGAAACACTCAAAGCGTCAACATACAGAGAATGCAAGGGAGAACTAATCTGATCCATGTCTAAGTCAAACACGGGCACACCGTGGCACAGCAAGCTGGGCCAGTCAGGGAGGTCTGGGGCTGGACCAAAGCGGCGACGGAAGAGGTTGTCGAGCCGGCGGAAGCAGCGGGCGGTCGGGTGCGAGCGGGGGCACACCGGGCCACGCAGGGGCCCAGTCTGAAGCTGGTACTGGCAGCTCACAGCACCGAAGCTGCCGGTGGACGCCAAGCTGCGAGGGCCACTACCTCGACCACCACCGCCAGGGGCTCCTTGCCACCTGGGCAGGAGACGAGCCCACGGCTGCTGCTGTTGCTGCTACCGTTGCTACTGCTACTGCTGCTGCTACCGCGGCGGCTGTTGGTGCTGCTGTGATGGCTGCTGCTGCTGCTGCGGCTGCGACTGCGGCGACTGCTGCTGCTCCTGGGCACCAGCACCAACCCCCTCGTCAGAACCACTGTCCCCGCCGCCACCACCACTAGCGCCACCTCCACGTCCTCCCTTGGGGCCACGGCGGCCCCGGCGCTGGTGCTGCTGCGGGTAAGCCACAGCTGCTGTTTCAGGTGCAGGCGCAGACGTGGCAACTGCGGCGGAGACGTCAGTGTACATGCACTAGGAGGGGGCACAGCCCTGAAAGTTAGGGACTGCCGCAACACCGCTTGACTGAGCGATGGTGCGCTGGCGAGTCTCTATCTCAGACAGAGTAGTGACAAAAGCGGTCAGGGTGAGGTCGGCAGGGTGCTGACTAAGGAAGTGGTCGCGGGCAGTGGCTAAGCGGTCAGGCAGGCGCATGGCGATGAGGTACAGGGTAGCGAAGAAGGGTGGAGGGAAGGCAGTAAGCTAGGCGGCAGAGCTAGCAGCGCGGAAGCTGGTCTCTAGTGCACGGAGGTGAGTGGCGAGGTTAGCTACAGTGGGGAAAGCAGAAAGATCTGGGAAGAGCATGGGTAGGATCAAGCGGCCAGCAGAGGCGGAAGAAGGGATAGAGTAACGCTCAACTACCGCAGCAAGAAAGTCCTTGGCGTTTGCAACAGCGGTGAAGCGCGGACGCTCAGACAGGGGAAGGGCATGGCTAATGGCAAGCTGCGCCACAGCATCGCGAGAATCCCAGACAGCTCGAGCAATTGCAGCAGCAGCAAAAGCCTTGCTCTCAGCAGTGGTAGGGTCAGCAGGGAGGGGATCAGGCGCAGGGGGGCGGGGGAGCAAACCATCAACATGCATAGCCAGGGAGTGCCCATCCTGGCGCTGACCTGTCATGTGCCGGCGGAGGCCCACGAGCCAAGCGGCGAAGTCGATCGCGTGCCCCTCAGCGTCCAAGTGAAGAACGGTGTCCGCCATCGCATATTTTGACAGCGGCATAGCGGCTCAGCGACGCAGCGGCACAGCGACGCGACGGCTCGGCGGCTCGGCGGCTCGGCGTCTCGAGGGGCCGGTAGGGGCGCGAGGGCCCGTAGTGGCGCGCAGGGCCGGCTAAGGGCGCAAGGGGCCGGTAGGGGCGTGACGGGGCCGGCTAGGGGCGCGACAGGCCCGTAGGGGCGCGACAGAGCCGTAGGGGCGCGACGGGGCCGTAGTTTCTGCGACAGGGCCGTAGGGGCACGACGAGGCCGGTAGGGGCGCGACAGAGCTGTAGGGGCGCGACGGGGCCGGTGGTGGCGCGAGGGGCCGTAGGGGCGCGCGGGGCCTGCTAGGGGCACGACGGGGCCGTAGGGGCGCGTGGGACCAGCTAGGGGCGCAAGGGGTCGGTAGGGGTGCGACGGGGCGGGCTAGGTCTAGCGAGTGACGGTAGGTGGCGGCACGGGGCGGAAGCAGGTGGGTGGACCTACCTACTCGTGATACCATGTTAAGACTAGAAAGGATAATTAAAAGAAGGGAGAACAAAGGAGATATAGCGTTTGGGCTGTACCCACTAAGAACATACCCTATCTAGCCTATAACTTCTATATAACAATATATGTATAAGTTGACAGAACTGTGCTCCTCATCTACCGCCCGTTGATTCCCTGCTGGGGCTCCTCCCTCGTCTAGATGCATGCGCCACCAGTCGAGTGCTGGTCCCCTCAGCAGCGACACAACCAAGTTGACACGTGATGCATTGTCATTAATACTTGCTGCCGTGAAGAAGATTTCCATGGCGAACAACCACCCGCTCACTATAGTTGTCCTGTCGGTTGGGTTGAACGGCGGTGGCATCGGAGGTTTGATTTTAATGGCCGCCCGCTACTCGCTGTGGACTTCTTCAACTGCCTCAAGTGTCGCCGATGCCCTCGCTTCGCTCGCAGCATCTTCGTCTCAGGTAACAGGCCGCCCCTGACTCGTTTCACCCCGCGTCTGGCGAAGCGACGAGTTTTCGTTGCGCAGCGTCTGTACTTCGCTTCCCAGCGACTCGAACTTATCGGCGAGTTGTTGAAGCTGGGCCTGCAGTGTCGTCACTATAGCCGCCCTGGCATGCAACTCGTCAAACTCCTCCTGAGTCACGATCCTAACACTACGATGGGCAGAGGTTTCCTGTGTGGTCATGTTGGAAATTTTATGTGACATATCTAAGAGTGCACACGCTTTTAGTTGGAGGAGCTTTAACGAGCTCACCTACCAACCGCAGGCCAACCCCCTATTCTGTCGGGTCTGTTCAAATTATATAAGTTATAATTTAATATAGGCTTGGTAGGTTGTTACTGAACCTTTTTGTAGGGGGTACAAGCCCCTCCTTGTACTCCCCTCTCTTCTAATCCAACCCTCTTTTCTCTCCTCAACTTTCCTAGCACCTAAAACCTCTCGCCATTCTCATGGCTCCTCCTAGCTCCTAGCTAAACCTTGTGCCATTCTATGGCTTCCTAGCTAAGCTAGTCTTTTGACATGGTATTAGAGCAGTTCGTTCCGCGTGGGCCTGCTCCTCGCGTTTCCGCTGCGTGCTCGTTTCTCTCTCTATCTCGCGCTGCCATGGCGGCCGCGTCAAGCTGCTGTGGCCGCGTCGTCGTGCCGCGGCGCCGCCGTCGACGTCCATGGCGCCCGCGTCCAGCTGCTGTGGCCGCGCCGTCGTGCCGCAGCACCGCCGTCGCGTCAAGATGCTGTCGCGACGTGACGGCGCCGTCACGCTGCCGCGGCGTCTACGCGACAGCGCGCGGTCGGCGTAACGGCGACGTCGTGCTGCCGTCGCAACGTCGACGCCCCGCTGCGGCATCGACGCCGCTCCATGACGGCGTCGTCGGGCTGCAGCCGGCCGCGTGACGCTTGTGGCGCCGCTAGACCGGCCGCCCGCATGTCAGCCTGTGGCGCCCCCCCCCCCCCACCCCCCTCCTTCCCCTGTGCCCTCTTCCATTCCGCAGACGACGGCTGACTCCCGCCGGCCGTCCCACCGTCGCGGGGCCTGGCCACGTCACCAAGAGGTGCGGGTGCCGCCGCCGCTGCCGCTGTTGTCGAAGCCGCCGCCGCCGCCGCTGTCGCCGCTTGCGTCGGGGCCACGCAGCCGCACGCCGCCGCCGCCGCCGCTGTCGACACTGCCGCCGCTGCCGCCGTTGCCGCCGCAGCCCCTGCGGTCGACGTCGCCGCCTCACGCACCGTGGGTCGACCGACCTAGAGTCGCTGTCACTGTGGCTGGAATGGGGGTGCTAGGTTAGGGGGTATGGGTGTGTGTGGGCATGTGACTACCAAGCCTAGGGGGTGTGTTCAAATTATATAAGTTATAATTTAATATAGGCTTGGTAGGTTGTTACTGAACCTTTCTGTAGGGGGTACAAGCCCCTCCTTGTACTCCCCTCTCTTCTAATCCAACCCTCTTTTCTCTCCTCAACTTTCCTAGAACCTAAAATCTCTCGCCATTCTCATGGCTCCTCCTAGCTCCTAGCTAAACCTTGTGCCATTCTATGGCTTCCTAGCTAAGCTAGTCTTGTGACAGGGTCCTCTCCCGATATAAATGGACTACTCTACGGAAGACCAAGCGGGCAGGAACGGAGCTCTGATACCAGCTGTTATGAATTAATCAGAGTAATAACATGTAGCGTAATCAATGAGTCGTGATTGAAGTGTGTCGATACAAATGAGGGCCTAGTCATTTATAGGCACGAACAGAGCTAGCCGAGAACCACGCGAACAGGTTGGGGCGGTCCGGTTGGCGAAAGCCATGGAAGCGCTGCGCATCTAGGTTTGGGTTCGCGAAATGGTTTGGGACCGAAGAATTTGGCTGAGCCTGGACTTCCGAGAGTCTAGGGCGTATGCGATGTAGTCGAGCCCAAAAAGTGTTATTATTGTTCAGGTTCCTCCGCAACCCAAAAAATGTTATTATTGTTCAGGTCTTTAAAAAAGTAAAAGTATAAAACATTTCTGGAGCATATTATCATAAAACCGCGCGGTGAATTTGACAATTCTTATGAAATGACAAAAATCTGGTTTATTATTTTAAAGATTGGAAAAATTGGTGAGAAATAAACTTGTCCGATCGATTGCAATAGGTTGTTCCGCAACCCAAAAAATGCTACCGTACTCTCTATGGGAAGCAGGTACAGAAAAAATGCTAGGAATTCCACGCACCAGCAGCTTCCACCGCCCCTGTCTCAAGAGTTCCTCTGTGCTGCTGTTTCACTGTCCACAGGCAGCGAATGCAGCAGAAAGTGAAGGAAAGTCCGCGCTACTGCGTCCCCTACCGCTCCCCTAACCACCGGCTTTGTCCGTTTCTGCCCGCCCAAAAAGCACGAGTAATGATGATCCCCCGGACACGTGTCGCCATACCGGGGCGCCTCCACCGCCCACGAATCAAACACCGCCATCTCAGCACCCCTTGTCACCGACGCGGCCAGCTGTCGCGCGTGCCGATTGGCTGCGGCCAGATACAGGTTCGTGGCGGGCCCCGGAAAGTTCCTCTTGATAGCGTACTCCGTGCAATGGGAGCCGGCGTTGGGGACGGGCGGTGGAGTCCGGAACACGACGCGGGCACGGTTGGCGCGGGAGGCGAGCAGCGCCCAGATGAAGTACTCGGGGAGGCGCGCTCGGAGGGCTTGCAGCGGCTCGGCGCACCACTTGCCCGCCCAGTAGCCGCCCTCGATGACTGTCACGTTCGCCGTGGTGGAGATGTTGGGGAAGGTGTGGTAGTTGTGCGTGTACTGGCCCCTCAACCTGCATTAAGGTTCAGGGTTTAGGGGGTTTCAGGTTTAGACTTTGAGGGTTTTGAGAGGCTCAGCGCACCATCTGTGGCGATTGTGCGCGTACTGGACTCTCAAGCTGGGGTGGAAAAGGGGGGAAGGAGGGGTGCTTTTTCCCTAAAACTTACAAAGCCCAAAAAAAAGGTAAGGGGCGAGGGGTGCAGGGGTGCAGGGGTGCAGGGATGCAGGTGTGCAGGGGTGCAGGGGTGCAGGGGTGCAGGGATGCAGGTGTGCAGGGGTGCAGGGGTGCAGGGGTGCAGGGATGCAGGTGTGCAGGGGTGCAGGGGTGCAGGGGTGCAGGGATGCAGGTGTGCAGGGGTGCAGGGGTGCAGGGATGCAGGTGTGCAGGGGTGCAGGGGTGCAGGGGTGCAGGGATGCAGGTGTGCAGGGGTGCAGGGATGCAGGTGTGCAGGTGTGCAGGGGTGCAGGGGATCCAGGCACTCACACGCAGCCGTACTCCCGGTTCCTGTAGATGCCGTCCACCCAGTAGAAGTTGACCCGCAGCTGCTTCCCCGTGCGCTCGTCCGTAAGAGTGAAGTTCATGTCCTCATGTGATCGCACCATGCGCTCGTCCGCAAAACCTGGTGTTTGTGGGGGGGACGGGACGAAGCAAGGGTAAGGAGTAAGAGCATGGGGGTTCATGCTCCTCCCCTGTGCGCTCGTCCATAAGAGTGAAGTTCATGTCCTCGTGCGACCGCACCATGCGCTCATCCGCAAAGCCTGTTAAAAGAGGGGGGTGGATGGAGGGCGTGAAATGGGGAAGGGCTCAAGGGGAATGAAGCTCTCTTCCTGTGCCCGAGTGGTGTGAGGGTGAATCTCCTGTCTCCATGCGACCGCACCATGCACTTGTTCACACAGTCTGTAGGAAGGGAGAGAATGGGCAACCAGAATGGAGGAAAGGGGAGCATTAGTCAGAATGGAAATCATGCTCTCGTGACTGCGATCCATATCCTCGTCTGCATAACCTGTTGAGCGACAGAAAGACACCTGACCTGGCAGGTGGGATGAGAGCAACAGCACGACTCATCTGACAGGAGGTACCTCAGGGGAAAAGCTAGCAATAGAAAAGCTCACTGATAGGAGGTACCTCAGGCGAAAATACAGCAACACAAGAGCTCACCTGACAGGAGGTATCTTAGATGGAACAACAGCAACAGAACAATGCACCTGACAGGAGGTATCTCAGGTGAAACGACAGCAACAGAACAACGCACCTGACAGGAGGTATCTCAGGTGAAACGACAGCACACGCTGGTGCGAGTCGCCCACAATGTTGATCTCGTGAATGCCCTTCCGCACCAGCTGAGACACCCACCCTGACGGCTGCTTTGGCTCCTTAGGCGAACAGGGGAAAAAGCGCCACCTGTCAAGGCACGGAGAGGGGGGTTTGTGGGGGTTTGCGGGTGTGAAGGGGGGGGAAAGAAAGTGCAAGCCTGCCCTTCCGCACCAGCAGCGACACCCACCCTGACGGCTGCTTCGGCTCCTACTGCGCAGAGGGGAAAAAGCGCCATCTGCCAGGGAGAACGAGGGGGGAGTGGCAGGGGAAGACAGGGTGGAGAGGGGTGGAGAGGGGCGGAGAGGGGCGGAGAAACGAGAGCATGCGCTGGTGCGAGTCGCCCTGTTGATCTCTTGAATGCCCTACTGCACCAGCTGGGACACCCACACTGACGGCTGGTTCTGCTCCATGGATGCACAAGGGTAGAAGCGCCACCTGCCAGCGGGGACAATTTGGGATTTATGGTAGTGCGCGGGAGTTGAGCTTGCCCCTCCTTGGCCCCTCAATGCCCTTCCGCACCAGCTGGGACACCCACCCAGAGGGCTACTTCAGATCCTTGGGGGCACACGGGTAGAAGCGCCACATGGCACGGCAGGGAGGGGCTGGGGAAGGGGAGGAGAGATCGAGAGTAAGTATGTCCTGCAGAGACGAGGGACGGGAAGGGGGTGCCCTACTTTTGAGTCGACTCAACTTTTGAGTCTGCTTTCGAGTCGACTCAAAAGAAGGGGAGGAGTGATCGAGTGGAAGCATGTCCTCCCAAGCCTCTCCCATGCCTCCTAAGCCTCTCCCATGCCTCCCAAGCCTCTCCCGTGCCTCCCAAGCCTCTCCCATGCCTCCCAAGCCTCTCCCATGCCTCCCAAGCCTCTCCCATGCCTCCCAAGCCTCTCCCATGCCTCCTAAGCCTCTCCCATGCCTCCCAAGCCTCTCCCATGCCTCCCAAGCCTCTCCCATGCCTCCCAAGCCTCTCCCATGCCTCCCAAGCCTCTCCCATGCCTCCCAAGCCTCTCCCATGCCTCCCAAGCCTCTCCCATGCCTCCCAAGCCTCTCCCATGCCTCCCAAGCCTCTGCTATGCCTCCCAAGCCTCTCCCATGCCTCCCAAGCCTCTCCCATGCCTCCCAAGCCTCTACCGCGCCTCCCAAGCCTCTCCCATGCCTCCCAAGCCTCTCCCATGCCTCCCAAGCCTCTCCCATGCCTCCCAAGCCTCTCCCATGCCTCCCAAGCCTCTCCCATGCCTCCCAAGCCTCTCCCATGCCTCCCAAGCCTCTCCCATGCGTCCCCTATGCCCCCCCCTACCCCTTCTGCACCCCCCCTCCACTTACTCGAATCCGCCTGTCTTCGACAACACCCATCGTCCCTTGATGCCTGACACCTGGCACGGTGTGACTGGCAGCTTCTCCTCATCCTCATCCTCCTCTCCCTCATCCTTTGTCCCAATCTCTAACAGGCCCCTCCCTTCTGTGCCTCTCCCTCTGCTCCTCTCCTCACTCTGCTGCACCTCCTCCTGGCTGGTGACACTCAAGAATCGGCGAAGACTGGTGCTGCTGCTAACGTTGGTTGCGGCGCCAGAACTAATGCTCTGATTCGTATTGTCGCCTATCTCGCTGGAGCTGCTGCTGCTGCTACTGATCGCTTTACTACTAACAGCTTCTCCGTTGACATCGGCAGTGTTTGCAGCAGTAGCAGCAGTAGCAGCAGTAGCAGCAGTAGCACTAGTGCCCGCAGCAGCAGCGGCAGCAGTGGTAACAGTAGTAGCTGCAGTAGCAGCAGAAGAAGCGGCAGCGGCAGCGGGGAATAGAGGCAAAGTAGCAGCAGCAGTGGCAGGAGCAGCAAGGGAGCTGTTAGCCCAGAGGGCGTCTCTCTTCTGAGGCGTGATGGTGAGGTTCCAGGACGTGACCACGTGGAGGTGCGTCTGACTCAGGTGCTGCTTGTAGTTGGGGGCGAACCTTAGATTAGCGCAGCCGACACCCAGAAATGCCCTGAGAGGAGAGGGGTAGGGGACACGCATGGGACAAATGGGATTCCAGGGGGTGACCACGTGGAGGTGCGTCTGGCTAAGGTGCTGCTTGTAGTTGGGGGCGAACCTTAGATTAGCGACACTCAGAAATGCCGTGAGAAGAGAGAGGTGGGGGGGGACACGCATGGGACAATGGAATAGATGGGGAGGGGAAGAGGCTCAGCTGCTGCTTGTGGCTGGGGGGTTGGACTGTAAGTTAGAGCAGCCGACACTCAGGAATGCCCTGAGAGGAGAGGGGTAGGGGACACGCATGGGACGAATGGGACAGAGGGGGAGGGGGAGAGGAAGGCGCGATTATGAGATTCCACGACGTGACCACATGGAGGTGCGACTGGCTCAGGTGCTGCTCATAGTTGTGGAGTGGCCGAACCACAGGTTGGAGCAGGCGACACTCAGGGATGCCCTAGGGAAGACGGACAGAGCGGCAGACACCATCGTCTAGAGGGCAGACAGCTGTACCTTGCTCGCTCCTCTAGAACCGCCGATTTTTGAGAAAATTCAAAAATCACCTAGGGCAGACCTAGGGCAGACAGCTGTACAATGCTCCTCTACAACCGCCAATTTTTGAGAATTTTCAAAAATCACCTAGGGCAGACCTAGGGCAGACAGCTGTACAATGCTCCTCTAGAACCACCGACCACCGTTCTGTCACTCTCGCCTGTGCTGCCCCACCTGTTACGGCTCTGCCACTCGCACCTGTATTGCCCCACGCCCCAGAGGCGATAAGTGAGGGCGAACTAGGTGCTCGCGGGGAGGGTTGAGGCAAGGCACAATGCGACTGGAGTGAAAGTAGGTCAGAATAGTTGCTATGAATTGCAACCCTCAGCGCTCTCACCTGTACTGCCCCACGTCCCAGAGGCGATACGTGAGGGCGAACTGGGTGCAGGCGGGTGGGTCAAGGCAGCGCACGTCACCATGGGAGAGAGAGGGGCCCTTGAGGATGAGGGTCATGTCCTTTTTCCACCAGCTGGCGTTGGGGTACACCTGCAATTCGGGGGGTGGGGGCGGGGGGGAGGGGAAGGGATGGGGGGCGGGTCAAGGCAGTGCCACACAGTCATGGGAGAGGGAGTGGCCCTTGAGAAGGAGGCTCATGCCCTTCTTCCACCAGCTGGCGTTGGGGGGTACACCTGAAAAACGAGGGGGGGTGGAAAGTGAAGGGAAAAGGTGAGAGAACAAGGTGTGAGGTGAGAGAGGTAGGGGCCCTTGAGAACGAGGCTCATGTCCTTTTTCCACCAGCTGGCGTGGGGGTACACCTGACAACCGAGAGGGGAGGTGGAGGAGGAGAGGAAGAAGGGAGAGGGAAAAAGAGGGGGGTCAAGGCAGCACGCATCCCATGGGTTAGAGAGTGGCCCTTGAGAATGCGGGTCATGTCTTTCTTCACCAGGTGGCGTTGGGGTACACCTGGGGGACGGGGGGATGAAGGGGGAAAGTATAGTAACCAAGGTGTGAAGAGCGAGAGAAAGGGCCCTTGAGATCGCAGGTCATGTCTTTCTTGCACCAGCTGGCCTTTGGGGGGGGGTGGGTGTTGGGGGATAGGGGGGGGAGAGTGGCAATGGGGGGAAGTGGGCATGGGGGGAGTAGGCATAAGGGGGGAGCACGCATAGGGGGGAGTAGGCATAGGGGGAGTAGGCATGGGGGGGAGTAGGCATGGGGGGGAGTAGGCATGGGGGGGAGTAGGCATGCACCCATGAGAGCGCAGGTCACGTCCTTCCCATTCCAGAGACGGCGGACATTGGGGGTGCATTGAGTCGACTCATGCATGCACCCTTGAGAAAGTGGGTCATTGGGCATGCACCCTTGAGAAAGTGGGTCATTGGGCATGCACCCTTGAGCAAGAGGGTCATTGGGCATGCACCCTTGATAAAGAGGGTCATTGGGCATGCACCCTTGAGAAAGAGAGTCATTGGGCATGCACTCTTGAGAAAGAGAGTCATTGGGCATGCACCCCTGAGAAAGAGAGTCATTGGGCATGCACCCTTGAGAAAGAGAGTCACGTTCTTCTTCCCATTCCACCGGCTGCGGCTGGCTGGGGTCATTGGGCCACACCCGGCGGGAGTGTCCCACACGTGTGCGGTTAAAACCGGCTGGGGCTGATGGTATTTGGGGTGCATTAAAACAACACACGCGTGCGACACTTCCGCCCACTCATGCATTCTCGTATCCCCCCACCTGAACCTACCTGCCATCCTCTTCCTCCCACCTGAACCTACCTGCCATCCTCTTCCTCCCGCCTGAACCTACCTGCCATCCTCTTCCTCCCACCTGAACCTAACTGGCACCTGCCATCCTCTTCCCCCCACTATTTCTCCCACAAGCAACCACACCCACCTGCACCCAGCTGGCAGGGGCGTTGATCCACACGCGCATCCCACACTCCTTTCCACGCACGCACCCCGCACACCCCCTTCCGCCCACCACCACCCCCGGGGGAGGTGAGAGCGCGGAACCAGTGTGTGGCCCTTGCTACGGTCTGGTGGGCGAGAGTTGGGGGATGGAGGGAAGGGAAGGATAAAGGGGGGAAGGAAGGAGAATGAAGAGCTGGGGAGGGGGGGAACAGGGATGGAGGACATGGGGCCACACACCCCCAACCATGCACACACACCTAGCACACTCACTTCCGCCCACCACCACCCCCTGGGGAGGACGAGTGCGGGGAACCAGCGAATGTGCGGCCCTTCCTAGGGACTGACGGGCGAAGGAGTAGGCGGGATTGGAGGGAAACAGGGGGAAATGGGAGAACAGGGGGGGGGGGAGGAGGGGGGCGGAGAGGGATGAGATTGACTAGGGGGGAGAAGGTGGAGGAGCGTCGGAATTTGGGGGAGTGAGGATAGCGAGGAGAGAGGCAAGAGGCAGGAGGAGAGAGAGGGGGAAGGGATGGTGAACAATGGGGGGAAGGAAGACTGGCCTTTTGATCGAAATGCCAGGGTACAGGAGGGGCTGGGCCGCTGGGGTGGAGGGGGGCCGTTTGAGTTGACTCAAAAGCAGACTCATTACACGCGGTATTTTTTTTTCTCTCGAACAGTCCTTCATTGCTCGGATTGCCCTGGGTACATGCGAGGCATATAAGGTGAGTACAATCATGCATGGTATTTTGGCCGAGCTCCTAGTCTACCACGCCTCCCTCAGGTGCTCGATGACAGCGAAGCAATCCCCTAGGGACATGCCCGCGTCAGGAGCGCCGAGGGGAGGCCATTCGAGTGGTGAGGCGTCGTTCACCTTCCCAAGATAGGTGAGGGCTTGTCCCCGCTGGAGGGTGACAGACCAGCGCTGGCGGAAATGGCTAAGCAGTTTAGCCGCCTGGTAGGAGCTGGGGTCGGCGTTGAAAAGGCGGCGGGCGGCCGTGTGTGCTAGAAGTTTAAGGAAGGTTGGCACTTCGGCGCATGGGCAGCCATACGTCTCGACCGCGAGCGGGAAGAAACCGACGTATGCTGCCCTGTGGCGGTAGTCGTCGATCTTCTTGTCCGCTTGCTCCCGGGCCATGTATCCTCGGCCCTTGCGCGCTAGCGGGTCCCGAGAGCTTACTGGGTCGGTGACGGTGACGTCCCAGATCCAGACCGCCCCCGAGTCCCGGTCACGCACGGCCAGGTCGGCGGTCTTGCCATCGACCAGGTTGTAGATCGCTGTTTCCTTCGTGACTATGAGCTGCGCGTCCCGCCCCATGCGTATGCACTCGTCCCGGAGGGCGTTGTGGGTGTCGGTGCGGCCATGCCCTGTCCCACAGCGGAAGAGGTGGTTTGGTAGTCGAGGGTCCTCAATCACCACCCCTTGGGCGCAGTTGCAGACCCTGGGTGCCGGGAAAGGGAGGCCCATGCGGAACGCCAGGGCGATGGCGTAGTGTGGGGGCGCCAACCGAAGTGAGGGGAATAGGGGGATGGCGAGGAGCCAATCGCCAGCGCCGTACCCAGTGAGGGAGAGGAGCCTCTGGGTGTGGCCGCTGAGGGGGTTGAGTTCCATCTCCCTTGACGCAGCCAACTGGTAGGCGAAGCGGGCTGCGTGTACCTCCAGGGCCAGTCGGTGCTGGAGGGGATCGTCCGAAGGTTCGGCCCGCTCGGCCTGTAGGAGCGCCAGGGCTGGGGCTGGGAGGGCCTTCTCGCACTCCGTCAGCCAGGTGTGGAGGGGTGTCGGGCTGTTGAAAGGGGGGGCCAGGGAGCATGCCGCAGCAGCGAGTGGGCCTGTCGGGTCCGATGGGAGGGATATCAGCAGCCGTTGGGCCTGTGTAACGCTAGTGAGGAAGGCGTGCGGACCCTCTACTGCGGGGTCCGTGAGGCCCAGGCCGCCAAGAGAGGGGGGCAGAGAGGCCTGTTGCCACGTGCGCGACAGTTCTCGCTCCCCCCGTGGGAGCTGGAGGTTACATGAGCGGAGTAGGGTGTGGAAGAGCTCCTGGCCCCACCGGGACCATTCATCGGTGGGCAGCGAGGATAGAGGGGTGGTGCGGGTGAGGTAGGACACTCGCCGCGAGACACAGCGGTGGAGGAGGAGGCCGGCGGCTTGGGGGTCCATGGTCGCCAGGGCGGGCAGCGGTCTGGCCATGTCGGCCAGCTGCTCCCGAAGGAAGGCGGCTGTCCCTTCAGTGGGGCCGATATGGCTCCCGAGGACGCGCAGGCCGTCAGCGCTGAAGGGGATGCCCGGGGGGAGGATGGAGCTGGGGGGCTGGGAGGCTGACCACGCCGCACACTTGGAGGGGTTGTGCGTGAGGCCCAAGGGGCGCAGGGCATCCGTAAGGTGTGTGAAGGCCGCCGCGCACGCCGACGAATCTCCGAGCAGCGTAATGTCATCGGCGTATGCGAGGCAGAGGACGTTGGGGAACGCCGAGGCCGTCGCTTGGAGGGCCGGGTGCATGGCCGCCGCGAAGAGCAGGGGACCCATGGGGTCCCCCTGTCGCACACCCCGGGCGCTGAGGAGTGGCCCACTGCAGAAGCCTGCGTCGAGGTAGAGGCGCGACGGGGCTCCGTAGGAGAGCTGGACGAAGGGGAGGATCGGTCGTAGGGGCGAGTTGAAGAGGCCTGCCACTATCGCAGCCCGGTCGACGCTGTTGAAAGCATTCGACAGGTCGACCTGGAGTACGAGGGCGGCAGGAAATTCGGCTGTGTATGCTCGAGCTCCGTGGATGATTGCCTCGCCGCCCGCTCGAACCGCTACCCCGAATTGCAACGGAAGGAAGTGAGACCGTGCTTGTTCAGTCATGGTGAGAAGGCCCGCCTTCGCCACGAGGCGGTGCAGGCATTCGCCTATGGCGATGGGTCGCGTGCCGCCTCCGGGCTTGGGAAATGCTATGAGGCGGCTGGCGGTGAGTAGGGCGGCGATTTCGGCGATGGAATCCCCTTTGAGCAAAAGTAATGCAAGCTCATGCAGTTTGCCAGCGACTGAGTTGTTAGCAAGGGCAGCTTCGCGAATGTGCTCGAAGCACATTCCTGAAGGCCCTGCGCCCACTCCGTTTTCGCAGCGACTCAGCAGGCGAATGAACGCATCCTGCGAAAACGAGGGACCCGCCTCGGACTCGTCAAGGATGGGCCAGGCGATTGACTCAGTCAACGGGGCAGGGTGCTTGGACTTCAACTCCTCGAGGACGTCGGGGGTTGAATCGCTGAACGGGGTCGAGTCCAGTGCCAGCAGGGCACGTCGGAGACTGCCACGGCGGACAAGCCCCTCTGCTCGCTTTTGCCTGCCGAAGGAGTCTGCCGCGTGGCGAGGTGCGGGGGGGTTATGCACAGCATCGATTGCTGACAGGTACAGCAAATGCCATTCGCCCGCGAGGAACTGCTGCAGTCGTTTTTCCACTGTGGCCCAGTCTGGGTGCTTGGGCGAATGCAGGCGAAGGGTTAGGCGAGGGACAAAGAGTAACAGACGCCAGCCTGCGAGGCTGGTTGGCCTGTGTGCGATATGGAGGAGGGGTGTCAGAAGTGCCAGAGCGAAGAGCTGGCGAAGTTTGGGGGGGATTCTGCGGGAAATTGGGGGTTGGCGACTGTCACACAGCAGGTCGATGTCCCATCCCGCCACCCCGGCGAATAGCGATTCGTTGGACGACAGCTCCTGTGGCGAGAATTGCCTTGGGAGCAGGGTCGCATGCGTAGCGCTCGCGCGGGAGTTTCGCACATTTTGCGCCCTCCCTCTGGCCGCCTGGGCGGGAGAGCCCAGCGTTTGCGTGCCAACAGGCCCCCGACTGCGAGATCTGGGCGATGGGGATGGGTTCCCGCCCCTTCCACGCAATGGTGCCCTGTCTTCCAGAGCGTCACCGGACTCCTCCGTGGATGATTCGAGGCGGCTCTCAGGTACATAAGTGATATCTTGTCTCTCTTCTTCGTCAGTTGCCTCCCTTTGCACCCCCCCCCTTAAAGCCCGATTAGCAGCCTGTTGGAAGTCGTTCATCGGGCCGCCATCCCGTGACAGGTCTCCCGCCCGACCTCGCCCGTGCCCCCGACCTCTCCAGGCCCTGCCTCCACCGCGTCCAGCTAACTCCCCAGCCAACGCGCGCCGTCCGGTCCGTCGCGCGGGCGAGGCCGTGGGGGGTGTTCGGGCCGTCAATGGATTTCCCCCAGAATGCGGTGGGAGTCGAGCGTCCCCATCGTGAGCGCTCCCGCGATTTGGAGAGTACGGGGGAGAGCGCCCCCCTCCGAGATCGGGCGAGCTCCCCACCGCCCTCGAGCTACGATTGGGAGCGCGGGCTCCCAGTCGCAACGACGAGCCGGCAGCAAACCCCGGAGCGCCTGTCGGGCAGCCGCCACTCGTCCCCGGCCCGGCCCGGGCGGAAGGCTCCTGAGCATGCGAACCGCGACCGGCCGGGGATAGCGCAGCCACCGCAGCCGCAGCAGCCTCAGCCGGCGCCGTCGCGCCGAGGTACGCCTCAGCGCGGGGCGCAGGCGACTCCAGCCCAGCAGCACCGGACGCCGCAGGGGCAGCGGGGGCAGACCGGTCCACGCCGCGGGTGGCGGGCTGGCGGTGGGAACGGGTCAGCTGCGGAGAGGGGGCTGGGCCGCGCCGCGGCGACGCTGGAGAACCTGTTCCGATCGGTTGCTGCGCCTCAATCGGCGCCCGGTTATCCTCAGCCGCAGTTCCCGCCCGGGCAAGTGTACCCCTCACAGGACGCCCAACCGCGCATGCCGGCCCCATCCTGTCCTCCGCGTGCGTCTGTGGCGCAGCAGGCGCCGCCCTTCCAGCAGCATCTTCAGGCACCCCATCCCCCTGCCCCCCCGTATCAGCCCTTGCAGCAGCCCGGTCTGCACTACCCGTCGCGTCCAGTGGCTGCGCCGACGGGAGTACCGACGGTGCGGTCGCTGCCGAGCTGGCAGCCGCCGCTGCTGGAGGCATCAGCAGCAGGCTGGCCCGCAGGCCTGCATCCCCCGCTGTTCTTTGACGAGCAGGCTGCAGCGCCGTTTGTTCCCCCCCGGCGGACTCTGACATCCCCGACTGGGGTTGAGGGGGGGGCAGAAGCAGCGGAGATGGGGGGGCGGAGTCCTGCGACGAGGGCTCCCCCCCGGAGCTGCTGGAGCCGCGCCGGTCAAGCAGCTTGCGGATGCCGCTGAGGGTGCAGCTGGAGCGGCTTCGGGGGCGCGGGCGTCACGCGGAGACGGCGATCCCAGTCGCCACGCTTCGTCGGCTTTGGCACGCGCGGCGGGCGATGGGGATCGCCGTGGAGATGCTGGCGGACTCACACTCCGTGCTTCGGAACTCAGCGAGCCCATGCAGGATGCCTCATGATCCTCTTCACCGCTGTGCGATGGCAGCAGCTGATCTCGCCGTCGTGTCGACGCGAGTGCAGCCCGTGCCCGCCCCGGGAACCGTGTTGGACCCACGTCTGCTCGTCGTGATGCGTGCAGTATTGGCGAGCATAGACTCGGCCGCAGCTGTAGACATTGTTGGCGGCGCCTTGTCAGCGCTCCAGCTCCTGGTGGGCTATGTGGCGGCCCTTCTCGAGGAAGCGGGAGCAGACCAAGTTGCGTGACTGGCCCCCTCCGCGCGTACGTGCGGTAGGGCGCCGCTCTCACCGGCGAGAGTCCCTCAGCACGGTTGAAGAGGCTCTCCATGCCGCCGGAATAGGTAGTTGCTAGGGTGTGTGCTTGGCCCGTGGGGCGTAGGCTGTCATTGCTGGTTGTTGTTGATGAATGGTTTGCAGAGTCCTTGCCGTCCCCAAACGCGCGGCCGAAGGCCGCCGGCGCGAGCCGCCACCAAGGGAAGGAGAAAAATAAGAAACCCAACTCAAAACTGAGGAATGAGAGGACTGAGGGCTCTAAATACTAAGGGACATAGGCTCCCTCTCTCTCTCTCTCTCTCTCTCTCTCTCGCTCTCTCTCTCTCCTCTCTCTGCCGCCACCAAGGGAAGGAGAAAAATAAGAAACCCAACTCAAAATGCCAAATATACAGGTGGGGTGGGGGCTGGGGTGGAGGGTGAGGGGCCTAACATTTCTGACTTGTACATTCTAGAAGGAAAAGATTCGAGGAAGGATATTCTAGAAGGGAAGCCCCGAGGCTACTATTTGACGAGGCCCAAAAAGCTCTAGGGAGGGGCTACTAACCTGAGGAGGTCCAGCAAATGTGTTCTAGCTCCTCCTTCACCTCGGGGAAAGGCTTCCCCCCACCCGCACTGCCGCTCCCCCCTTCATGCGACCCTGTTCCGTCGCCTGCGACTGCTTCTGGTCGCCCTGCGACGAGCTTGTCGGAGAGCGACCACTCGGACGAATCCAGCGACGCCTCTTTGGCGTCAGTGGCGACGGAACTGGGATTCGGACGAGGAGAAGGGGAGTGGGGGAGGGTATGGGGGGGTTGGGGTGGAAGAGGAGGAAGGGGAGTGGGGGAGGGTATGGGGGGGTTGGGGTGGAATAGGAGGAAGGGGAGTGGGGGAGGTTATAGGGGGTGGACGAGCTTGTCGGAGAGCGACCACTCTGACGAATCCAGCGACGCCTCATTGGCGTCGGTGGCGGCGGAACTGGGATTCGGATGAGGAGAAGGGGAAAGAAGAGGGTATGGAAGAGGGGGGAGAGGGGGAGTGGGGAGGGGGGGGAGGGGAAGGGGGGGGGTTTGAATAATTGGGAGATTGGAGCTATCTCTTCGTTTCGATTAACCAAGGATGGATTATATCGCTTCGTTCCCAATAGCACACGCCTCGGAAGAAACCATCTTGGAAAAAGAATACCGCAAGCCGGCTTTCGTCAAGAACTGCCACGGCCAACAATCCCCGTTAGGAGCTGTTTCACGTACTTCAGTACACTGTCCTTCGATAGCATCATCCACTTCCCGCCGGCGCTGGCGCCATAGTAGTAGCTACTGCTCGCGTACGGCGACGCTTGCCAGGCGATTAAGAAGAGCAGAATAAGATTCAGCAGAACCACATAGTACTTGCGAACACCCTCCGGCATGGCCTTCCATAGCCCCGAACCTGATCCCGAGCCGGATGCCGAGCCTGCTCCCGAGGCGGAGCCGCTAGACGCCGTTGATACAGATCCAACGGCTGGTTTTTTTAGTTTGCTAGCGGAGCCGACGTCTGTGACTGTAGTGAAGCTTAGCGGTTGGTCGAGCCGCGGCTTGCTCTGCTGCTGGCTCTGCTGGAACTGGCTCTTGATGCGCCTTAGAACCCACATCTTGCGGTGGATGGGGTTACTAAATGCTACTATTTAATAGGTATTACTAGTACCTAACGTTAGATGGTCAAGAGGTCTTTAGAATGTGGAACACCTTCCGAGGCGCCTCAGAGCAATAAGTAGGTTTAAAATCTAGTAGCATCACGTCCCCATACGCTGCTGAGCTACTATTTCCGAACAGTGCTAGGGCGGGAAGGCCGATTCTCTAAATGGAGTAGTAATCTAAACGCCATAGCTGCGTAAGCTGGGCCACTAAGGCCGATGGTGTAACGTCTGCGTACTAAGCTTGGATGCTTCTGACCGACATCTCTGCTGCCCGCAGTGCCTGGACTAAGATGAGCCCAGCCGCGGTAAAAAATTCGCGTGAATCAGTGAGCCCGCAGCAACGCCGCAAATGTAGTGCTCGCCGATGGTTAGACAGCAACCAGAAAGCTTTGGGATCGGACTACGCAGTCGCGCATAACGGCTAACTTTCCTGTCTCACGGTACAACGCGCATTAGGTCTGACGGATTGATGGTAGTACTTCGGTCGTAGCAGAAGGCCAACTACGCTTTCTGTCGGACGACGTCAGTTGCTTGACTTGGTTGTAGACAAACATGATTCTAGAAGGTGAGCCTTCCACTCTTCCCTCGCGAAAAGTCAGCTGTAACTGCACTTCGCCTGATAGCCACTGTCACGGCAATCTTCTCCCTAGCGAAAGGCGCAAATCTAAACGAAACCAGTTTGAGATGACCTTCGCCACTAACGGGATTCGGGATTTCGTCCAGCTCATTGCAGGGCCCCGAACCAGGGGACTGATAACCCACGAAACATCTCGCACAAATTCCGATTTTTCCTCGCACGAAAAAGAGTCGCAGGGAAGAATCCTCCCCCGAGAGAACCGTTTGATGCGACCGACACATTCGGCTGCGCGATCCGTCAGAGGAAACGTACGCGTAGTGGAGAGCCAACCCTTCAAGATAAAAGCATGATGCATTCTCAGCTCGTGCAATGTCAAACAAGCTATACCACATTCTCCCACAATCATGGCCAACACTAGCATTGGCCATGGTCCAGTTGTCAAGTAGGATGAAAGTATGGTCGCTCGCAAGACACGTTATAGCACACGTATAAGACATGAACGATGATACCCTAAACCCTAAACCCCATGGTACGACTCTAGTACGACTTCTACATAAGTATTGCACATAGCCAATAATTTATTTGCCATCTTGGGGGATTTGGGGCCAGTTACGGCCCGAGAAAAGGCCACCATCCAGCAGTTTTTTTTGTCCATCATGACCTTCCCTTCCCCCCATGCTCGATGTAATGAATCAACGACCTAACAACAGCCTCCCCAACGTCCCCTCTCATCACCACCTTCCCCCGACCATTCGTCCCGTAGCAATGATAGTGATGGTCGCGCGGACACACATCCATGAACCGCGGAGCCTCCACTTGCCAGCTATCAAAGAACTCAATACAGGGTACAGAATTGTCGACTCCATCAGCTCCACCAGCAGAAGCAGAATTGCCCGCGTTTATTTGGTCGGCCATGTGTTTGATCAGCCGATTAGCAGTGGAGAGAAAGAGGTTGGTAGCGGGGCCTTCGTAGATGCGGCTGGCAATGCTGCAGCTGTCACCACCGTTGGACACTGGGGGTGCTGACCGCACAATCAGCCGAACATGGCGCCTGGTGGCTGAGGCTGTCTTGCCTGTGCTGCTGCTGCTGTTACTGGTGGTGGTAGTACTGCTGCTGCTGCTGCTGCTGCTCGTGTTACTGCGAAGCAGGCGCTCGGTCCTTTCCCCTGTACCTTCTACTCTTGACTGGCTGCTGACCGCAGCTGCTGGATTCCCTCTCAGGTTGGGCACGCTCGGTGGTGGAGATGCAGTCAAGGATGCAGCAGGGAGGGCGGCAGGGAGGTCAGTGGATGCCCCCTCTCTGCTGGCGGACACAGAATAAACATGCTCAAAATCAGCGCTCTCAGCAGAGGCTTGGGAGCCAGCAGAAGCAGCAGCAGAAGCAGCAGAGGCTTGGGAGACAGCAGAAGCAGCAGCAGCAGAGGCTTGGGAGATGGCCCAGGAGAGATATTCAGGGAGGTGAGTGCGGAGGGCGGAGAGCGGATGCAGACAACGCTTGCCGGCCCAGTACCCACTGTTGATGATGATGACGTCACTGGAGAGGGAGATGTTGGGGAAGGAGTCGAAGTGCTGCGAGAAGGCTCCTCGGTGCCTGATGGATGGAACAAGGGTGAAGAGTGGGGGGAGGTTGAAGGGGGAAGGGGGAAGGTTGAATGTTGTCGTAGTGCTGGGAGAAGACTCCCCAGTGCCTGATGGAAACAGAAGGGGAAGCGGGAAAAAGGGAGGGGGGGGAAGAAGGGGGGGGAGTGGAAGCGTGACAGTTTTAAGGGACGTAAAGTTCCAACCCACACTTACATGCAACGGGTCAAAAAGATGTATGCACTGGCACTTATGTGCATCCGAATTCCCCGTTCCTGTAAATCCCATGTGAGCCACTTAAAGCCCACACTCGTTCCTGTGACCCACACTTACGTGCATCCGAACTCCCCGTTCGTGTAGATCCCATCGACCCAGTAGAAGTTGATCCTCAGCGTCTCGTTCCTCTCGTTCCGCGCCACAAACTCCAAGTCGTGCCGCCCCTTCCGGTTTGCGAGGTCGGCCTCGCCCGACAGCATGTAGAACAGGTGGGCAGCAAGCACGCGGTGGTGCGAGTCCCCCACGATCGAGATCTCCCTGATGCCCCGGCCGTTGAGTGAGGAGATCCAGTCAGTGACAGGGGTCTCGGGGGCAGCACAGGGGAACGGCACCCAGCTCCAGGCGCCATCTGTTGCTCCTGTAGAGGGGCCATTGCTACTGCTGCTGCCGCTATGCCTGCTACTTTTGCCACTGTTTCTACTGCTGCTGCCCTGAAGCCACCGGCCAAAGACAGAGCCAGTGCACGGACCATTCTCTCGCGTCTCTTGATGATTCCCTTCCCTCCCTTGCGCCTCAACCTTCTCTTTCTCCTCCTGCTCCCCCTGCTCCTCCTGCTGCTCGTGCTGCTCCTGATGCTGGTACTGCTGCTGCTGCTGCTGCTGCTGCTGCTGCTGCTGCTGCTGCTGCTGCTGCCCGTGCTCGGTTCCAACATGCCCCCTGAGCCGCTCGAAGAGTGCTGAGCCGTGGGGCGCGTCAATCTGAGGATTGAAACCAAGTGTGGCGTTCCCCACTCTCTCTTCCGCGCTCGCTGCCTCCCCTCGTCCCACGCTCGACTGCCCAGGAGTGAGTGGGTCTTGAGGGGTGAGTGAGTCCTGGGGCGCGCGTGAGAAAGCAAGTGTGGCGTTCCCCACCCTCTCCTCTGCGCTCGCTGCTTCCCCCCCCACGCTCGACTGCCCTGCAGTTGTCAGGAGCAGCAGCCGGCGGGTGAAATCCTCGCTAGTAGCTGCTTCGTTATGAGATGCTTGATTGGTAGCTGCGGCTACATTCGAAGCCTCTGGTGCTGCGGGTGTAGATGATGGGGGTGTGTGCGATGGGGGCGTGCGTGATGGGAGGATTGTGAGGTTCCATGAAGCCACGTCATGCGTGACGGTGGCATCGTAGGGAGAGGAGGAGGAGGAGGAGGAGGAGGAGGAGGAGGAGGAGGAGGAGGAGGAGGAGGAGGAGGAGGAGGAGGAGGAGGAGGAGGAGGAGGAGGAGGAGGAGGAGGAGGAGGAGGAGGAGGAGGAGGAGGAGGAGGAGGAGGAGGAAGAGGCGAGGAGGAGGTTGGAGCATCCTACGTGGAGGGAGGACCTGCGAAGCACACGGGAGAAATGCAAGAGAGGAGGATGGCAGGTTAAGAATGGATTGCACAAAGCCTGTGCGCTAGTTGTGAAACCAGACTCGCGAACAACCACTCATAAATGGTTACCTCTTTGTACCACTCATAAATGGTTACCTCTTTGTAACAACCACTCATAAATGGTTACCTCTTTGTAACAACCACTCATAAATGGTTACCTCTTTGTTACACACGAGCTGCCGCTCCCCAGACTGGATGGTATAGTTCATACACAACCCTTCACGGTTCATATCACGGTTCATATCACGGTTCATATCACGGTTCATATCACGGTTCTTATCACGGTTCATATCACGGTTCATATCACGGTTCTTATCACGGTTCTTATTACGGTTCTTATTACGGTTCTTATCACGGTACGTACCACTATCAGAGCTCCTTCACATACCTCTCACCGGTACGTCCCAGCGTCCCAGGCTCGGTAGGCCACAGCGAATCGGGTGCAAGCTGGAGGGACGCCGCAGACAGGGTCGGCGTGAAGCAGCGAGGGGCCGGTGAGGGAAAGAGCGACCACGCTTACCTGGTGGTAACACAATTTAGTTACAACCCCATCGGCTACACTCACCAGTACGTGCCAGCGTCCCAGGCTCGGTAGGACACAGTGAATGAGGTGCAGGCCGGAGGATCGACGCAGACAGGGTCGGCGTGAAGCAGCGAGGGGCCGGTGAGGGAGAGGGACATCTCCTTCTTCCACCAGCTTAGAACGCTGGAGTTCGACGGAGGGATGAACGCTGATGGTGTTGCGGTGGTGGTGGTGGTGGTGGTACTACTGGTACTAGCACGATCAGCAGATGAAGCTGCTTCCTCAGCAACAGCAGCATCGGCGGCACTAGTCGTAGCTGCTTCTTCCTCTGCAGCAGCGGCAGCAGCAGAAGCAGGGTTGTTGCTACTAGCGCTGGTCACGGCGCCATCAACGGGAGGGAGCGTCCACGTGGCGCCTGGGGGTTCGACGCTGATGAAGAAAGTGCAGGTCTCGCCTACTGTGCAGGTCGAACAGCCGCTGCCGTATACGAACAGCCCCCCACGCTCTGTAGCAGATATCGGAGCCAATGATAACGGGGATGATGTCGCTGCTGCTAGTTCGGACGCCCAGCAAAGGGGAAGATCCGGAGAACGTGGAACCCATACGACTCGTGACACGTCACCGTCCCTAGATGGAACGTCAGAGTTCACATTTGTGCCGTACAGGTCAGTTGCCACGTCAGCATCCAGCACACCAGCAGTTACACTCTCTGACGGGCCAGTTCCAGCAGCGATCAACGGCTGTTGCTGAGCAGATGGCTCATCGGACGGTTCAGATTGGCGCGTCTCAGAATCAGTCAATATCAACGGCTGCATCTGTAGCGCGGGCTTTCCCCGCAATTGCTGCGAACCTGGGGTCCCTTCTAGCGAGATAATATCTGCCGACACTGGTTGCGGCTTTGAAAGGCGGGAATCTAGTTCCGACGAGTCTGCTCTTAGCGAGGACGGCGGGGGAGAGGAAGCCTGGGGATTGGCGCCGGGAGGCCAGGGGAAGAAACTGCGAGCAGTGGGGCGACGGGGGGAAGGGGTGGGGAAAGGGGAGGGGGAAGGGAAGTGAGGAAGGAGGGAAAGGGAGCTCGACGGGGGTGGTTATAAGGAGGTCTGGGAACGGACGCCGGGGGAGGCCGAGGGAAAGAACTGCTCTCACTGGGGATCGTGGGAAAGTTGCCGGGAGGGATTGCATGGGGGCCCGGGTGGGAAAGCTGCTGGGTAACTGCAAACACGGGATATGAGGGAAGGTTCCGGGGAGCTGGCTTAGCGAATGGGAACGGGCCATAACGGCAGGCAGGGTAGGAAAGCACTGCTAAGTGCTAGCTTAATAACTGGCTCACTGGCCAGTGAAACACTAGGTGTAACACCTCACGAGAACGGCCGCATACGTGGTAACAGATCTGCGTCCGTACGCACGTACGTACGTACGCATGAATGCACGCACCTCGGGAGCCCGTCGGCGCTGCTCTCGAGTTTCATCTCCTCGAGATCCACGACGGGCGGCCGGCTGCTCCAATCGCCTTGCGCCACGTGGTGCCACAGCTGCACGGCGACGAGCGCCACGAGGAGGAAGTCGATTAAGAGGTAGTGCCATCGGCTCCGAATCACCTCTATGGCCAGGTCCCGCAGCAGCGCGACTCGCTCGGCGATTAATCTCCGAATGCGCAGCCTCTCTTGCCGAACGCGCTTCGCGTCTGGAAGATCGTCTCGAAATTGATCTCCTATTCTGTCAACCTCCATCTTCCCAACTTATCTCAACAATTTTTACCACTAGTACGATCTCCTTTTCTTTCCCTATGAATGGGCGAGAAGAGGGAAGCGCGTTAACCTTTGAGGCCTATCGGCTGACTAATTTCATTCGAATACTACTCTCTGTTCAAGTCTCATAGCTGTTCGGGATCGCGGAACGAGGCCGAGGCTTAAGGGTCTTCCTTTACGGTCACCTTAAAGCAGAAGGGTCACACCTTAGGCGGTGCGGCGCTCTGCGACGATTTCAGGTGAGAAGTGCTGTGCCGCGGAGAGGAGCGGACACTCTTGCGGCTATGCACTCGAGAGGCACGGAGTCGATAATTGAGTCGACTTAGAAGGTGGTTCGGAGGCTTGTGAAGGGCTCTCTGCTTCACGAGGGAAGATAGTGTATCGAGCCGCTTCCTGGAAACCTAGACTGCGCGCTGGAAGAGTTTGCCAAGCCCCGCGGCCCTAGAAAACAGCTCGCTACACCGCTTTAAGTGTTCAACAACACCCCCAACTTGGATAATCCGGACCTCGGGTTTTAACTATGCGTCTATAATCAGTTCAACGGAGCCCCTAATGTAAAAAGCCGAGCGAACCGGCCAGTATGGTCAACGCATATGTGCTTCTCGCCCGATGGATGGACGGGACATCCGTTTGAGTGCCTGAATTCGCTGCTACTCGTCAAGGGTAGTGGGGATTGGTGAACTGCAACTTGACTTCGGTTCAACCAGACTTGGTTCTGCTTTCAGACTTGGCTCCGGAGAGGCCCCTTACGCCGTAGCGGAACGCGACGGACCGCAGCCCCTTCAATGTCAAGCGCTACTCGTCGCGCCCACACTGAAAATGGTGATGGGAGGGATCATGGCTTCCCCCTTCCATTTCACCCTGAGAGCGGCCAAGCTGAGCAGGCATACTTCAGCCGAGTATGGAGCACAGCTTGATCATGGCATCACACCTAGCAATCTAATCCAAACGAGAGAAAACCATCCGAACCTTTACTAACCGACTCAGGGGCTTTTTACAAAAATTTCCCGGTTTGTCACCTCCAAGGAGCACAAATTCGCGCACCGACGAATTCGAATTTGGGGCCCGCGCGACGCGGGAAGCTAAGCCCGCCATTCCCTCGGAGTGTACCCGAGACGCGCATGCGATTCTCCTCCTCCCACGTGGTAACATCGCGAAAGCCATGGTTAGCGAAACTCACTAATCCACCTCTATCTTTGCTCCGTCGTGCAGGCCCAGCCTCCCACACAACCAAGGACAAAACCGCACGAACAAGCATTTCTGGTCATACTTGATATTGCTTGAAGCTCATATGCTCATACGCATAACTAGAAAGTAGTATGGGTGGTGGTGACATTGCACCCTAGTTAGACTTTGGCAAGGTTGTGACAAGATGTTTATACAATTATCCAACAACCATTTACAATGAACAGGAGGTAATCAGACTTCTACATCTTTAGACACACAACACAAGCCACTACTTGAAGAAGCCCTTCCTCTTGCCAAAAAACCCCTTGCGTTTGCCATGGAAATGGCCTTTGTGCTTGCCATAGAAGCCCTTGTGCTTCCTCCCCTTGTACTTGTGTTGCTTGTGGTGGTGGCCCACATGCACATGAGCCACTTGACCGTGACCACCTGCATGTCCACAGAGTAAAGACAACAGCAGCAGGGTTAGAAGTACACATGAAGTCCTTTTCAAGCCCAGTTTCTTTCCGGGCGGGTACTCCAGAATCGAGCGTAAAACTTTCACAAGCGAAATGGGCCAATATGGGGTAGTCTGGTTACCTAATTGGCATTTTTCAGTCTAAAGCGGGTGACCATTATTGTTTCTTTTGCGTTCCTCGGGCAACAGTGTGAGGCCTCAGAACGTCCCGTCTGCACGTTTGGGGGTCTCAGTATAAGACGTGGTAACTGTTGGAGATCAGTGGGCCTCTGGGTTGGGCCGTTGCCTGTGTGTTCTAACCAAAGGGCCTGTAGATGGACACGTGGCGTCTAATGAATGGGCGGTTCACTGGACTAAAGGTGTATCGAAGGCATGCACGTGACGACCCACATTTCGTGACGACATGTGACTCTGTTTCTCCTCGGCTACAGTAGGCTCACAAATACACCAAGTATTCTTTAATATCGCCATTTCCGTCGACGGTCTTTACATGGCGCAGGGACTAACAAGCTGTACAGTCCGCTGCCTGAGAAACCCACGTTCGACGGGACTCGATGCTGTGTGACTTTACAGACTTGGCCCAAAAAGCCGATTCTATCATGTGCGATTTAAACGAACACTTGGGTGTACGGAGCTTGCAAACCAGGAAAATAAAAACCCCACTAATATCGCTTCGGTTGGTGGCGGCCCTTCCAGCAGCCATTTCGCATGGGTACTCAATCTTCAGCGCTCTGGGAAATTAATGGATCGATCTGTCGAGCAAACCTGCATAACCGTGGAGCTCGAAATCGTTGGGCGTATGGCAGTCCTCCCAGCAGCCACCATCGGCTCTTACATTCCCCTCCTCCCCCCTTTCCCCGCTAAAGCTTAGATTCTTCTTTTGCGCTCCGCGTGAGCCACGGCGCAACCCACGGTGCCCGTGGATACCGGTGGCCATACAATCATAGATTAATTCAGGCTTACCTGGGTACCCGTGCGGAGCGGGATAACCGGCAGGAGGGTATCCTTGAGGGGGATACCCAGCGGGAGGCGGATAACCCTGCGGGGGATACCCCGCGGGTGGCGGGTAACCGGCGGGAGGAGCGCCGGGGTACCCCGCAGGCGGAGG